TGGGGAAGCCAATAATGAGCCTACCATTTGGGAATGTTTTTTTACGACCTTTTTATGGTGACTTTGAGAATGTGTTTTTTTTTTGGGGGGGTCTACCACATTACCCAATAACATTTTGGCGATTATCATAATCCATTATGGGAATCCCTCTGAGCCAGCCAGTATAAAGGAACGTCAGTGAAATTGTTTTTGTTGTTTTTTTTTTGCTTGACCATCTGGTAGTCGAACATGGCTCGCTGGCAAATCCGTCATTTCAACGGGCATTGAAATCGGAAATTCATCTATGGGTTGGTTTGACCCTCTCAGTCAGGAAAAGTTAGGAAGGGCCTCCAAGTTGTAACATGCTGTAAGTTGGTTTAAGGAGGCCCCGTCCTGTATAGAAAATCACAAGTTTTTTTGCTTAATAGATTCATTGAAAAACATAGGCTAGTTTCCATAGCTATGTTAAATTACCACAGTGCATAATGTGTGGACATTTTGCGTGATAGTGCTTGATTTTAAGTTGGTGCTGTTTTTGGGATTCATATTGATTGATTCAATTTGAATATACCGACCTCCGCAGGATGTGGTTCCTAAGTATGGAGCTTTCTTATAGAATAAAACGGCCTTGAATTGAAGGGTTTCTGTAACGAACAGGGAAGGTCCCATGACTTTCCATATACCCATTACATTTGATTACCATATACCCATTATTCATAATATGACATTTATGATATCACATGGACATTATCTGAAACTCTTCCAGAATTGGTTAAAGGCAAAATCAAACCTGCCAGAATTGAGATTCCGAAATCTCAAACACCCTACTATTCTCATTGTTCCTGTAGATGTTCCCTGATGTTCCCTGAAAAATCCCATTGAAACCCAGCCTTTCCCAGGCAAAGAGACGGCAGAAGCCTTAGTCGGCTTGGGGATGGTCCGTGCCAGTGATGCTTGGCCAATTTGCCTGGGTTGGGTTTTGTATGGGATGTTACACCTGGCACCCAACATTCCCATCATCCGCTGTTCCAGAACCATTATTCAGGTGTCACACAACAAAGCGGGGGCAAGTTATCTAGCCTAAGAATTCAAACATACTTTTGTTGATGAGTATCTCCATGTTTGCTGGTCCTACCCTTGTTCTTTCCCCATTTGGCAAGGTATCTAATCTGGACATGTTTGAGCTATCCATTCCGGATCCCCTCACATAGACCCTGACAATTGGGGATTGGAAGACTATCCTCTAGCCATTGCTTCTCGAAGTCTGTGTTAGTTGGGGATGGTAAAGAGATACAGTTAGAAATACATTGCCAATCTCATCGAGAGAATACATACCACCGTAGACCCCCTGGTTTACAGTTTGGGGTCGCACATGCGGCGGGGGATTTAATATTGTTGGAAATTATTTCACCACTGTATAAATTTGAATGTGCACGTGTTTCTCATCCCAGTTGAAAGACCATTGGTTATTATTGTATGACCAGTGAGTTATAACTTACATACACGGTAACCCTTGTATCACCATCCTGGTGCCTCATCACGCTTAGCACTTAGGTCATAAACCCAGTAATAAATGGATAAATGGACTATATAACATGCCAAATTTCACAAAGGCCGCTTTTGAGCAGGAGGTTTACAAATAAGAAATCTGTATGGGGACGCAAGCTTTTTCAAAGGCTGAATCCAAGTTTGAGAGACTCATATTATTTTGATCGATGCACAAGATTTAGTAAATGGATACATATGGTTTTCAGAAATTGATAGGTGAGCATACAAGCCACATCTACATAGAAGGCATTCGTTATATAACAGTCCATCAAATCCCTCCTATTGCAGGCCAGTCCTGTCTCAACATGTATGCAGCGCAGGTGTGGTTTGGAAACGCTTTAGATCAGTGATGCCTGCCACCATTTGAAATACCCAAGTACTGAAACAGTCCAAGTACTTTGCCTTGGGATACATCTCAACATGTTTCAACAGACAGCTCAACAGAGTGTACAGAGTGAAGTGAGTCAAAGTCAAAGAGGCGAAAAATAAAAGTGTGGCCTGTCACGGATGTGAAATCAACAATCCAAAGTCCTTGGTCACAACCAAATCCCCTTAATTGCAAACCCCAAGTCCTCAATTGCAACCCCCCCTTTGCAATTAAGGAATTGGGGTTTGCAATGAAGGATTTCTCACTAAAAAGTACATGAGAAATCCTGAATTGCAAGCCCCAATTCCTCACTGTAAAAGGAGGAATTGGATGGACTGTTATACAGCGAATGTCTTCTATGTAGATTTGGCTTATAACCTGACCCATGAAAGTCTGAAAACCATTGGGAACCATATGTATCTATATAAATCTTGCGCATCAATCAAAATAATATGAATCTCTCAGACTGGGATTCAGCCTTTGAAAAAGCTTGCATCCCCATACAGACTTCTTATTCGCAAACCTCCTGCTTAAAAGCAGCCTTTGTGAAATTTGGCATATACAATCCTACCAAAACGAGGCTTGTAACCTACTTACTGTACCAAGTGGTTCTAAGTGAGATGTGCCACCACAGTGTTCCAGTTCTCCATTCTTCAACTATCATTTTTGGCTACATACCCATTAACCATTATTAACCATCGTTATTCCTTTTGGGATAGGTTTCCCACAGTATTAACCAGTCTTAACCATGATATATTGACCTTATTAACCCTTGTTAAACCCATTTTACCGTTATATTAAGCATTATGAACCACTGTTAACCATGATTATTGCCACCAAGATTGGTTCGAAAATACCCCAAGGTTGGCGTTCAGAGTCTGAACGACGACACCCTGCGCGCCTGCGGCCGCAGCCACTCAGCTGCTGAAGCCGTGGAAGCGCTGAAGCTGCTCCGAAACCCGCCGCAAAAAAACTGGTGGTGCCCAGGTGTTCGAACTTGGTGACTCAACCAGCAAAAATTGGGGACTGAACCAGCAGAAATGGAAATTGAACCGGCAAAAATGGGGCTTGAAGCACTAAAAAATTAACTTTAGCTAGTAACAATCAGGATTTAACCACAAAAAATGGAGATTGAAGTAGCAAAATTAGTGATTTAAGCGCTAAAAAATTAGATTTAACGGGCAAAAATGGGGACTCCACTACAAAGTGAGATCTAACCAGCAAAATCCATCAAAAATAGGGACTTAACCATCAACAATTCAGACACAAATAATGAGGATTTAACCAACCAACTAAAATAGGGATTTAACCAGCAAAAATTGAGACTCAACCAGCACTAATGGGGATTCATGATGAGTTAATGTTGCGTGGCTTTAAGTTTGTTTTTGTTGGGTTTATCGCTTTCATAACTGCTTGGTTCATGGTAGATATATCATAAGTCAATGGGATATATAAACCAGCCCAACCGGGTACATCATACACCACTTTGTAGCGGACCACCGGGTTTCCCAAATTGATCTGGTGATGTTGCTTCTATGAAATATAGACGCATAAAACATAATATTGTGATTATTGGTTATGTTTTTTTCAAGTGAGGCAGGTGTCAAGATTTCAACAAAATATTTGAATCCAGCAAGCATGGACGTGTTCAATCATTGCCCTGATAGGGTACAAAAAAAATGGGTTGGACACACAACTACAACTAGGTGGTGGATTTCCACCAGAAGCAGCGTTGATAAAGAACACGATATTGAATCCACGAACAGGGCAATCACCACCAAACAACGCAAAAAAAATGAGATTTGGCAAACAGGAATGGAAGTGATGGAATAACTGTTTGGCAAGCATTATTGGACATGGATACGTTCTGTTAACCGGAAACTCTGGCCCAGTTCCTGTGATGCACGCGACCCTTCCCCTACTGCCACGTCCGAGCCTAGGAGAGGCAGGGGTCCGGAACATCAGCGCTGATCTTTTGACCCTGGGACCGCAGCTGCCATACCCTGAAATTTCGAATCCTTAAGCCGTTGGTCCTATCACGTCCAAGCTGAACCTAAAAATCCGAAATTGTTCCGTGGTACGGCACTGATATTTGGTGGTGGTTTCTATGATATATCTAGCTTGACGTGTCTTCGGACGATTGCGTGCACCTATACTTTGTATCTATCTATCTATCTATTTATCTATCTATCTATCTATCTATCTAATTAATCTATCTATCTAATTAATCTATCTATCTCTGTATCTAATTAATCTATCTATCTATCTAATCTAATCTAATCTAATCTAAT